TGCATGAATCTACGTGAAACGATGGTCAGAGACTGCGGTTGCAACATCTTTAATTAGACGTCTAAGTAAATATAGATGAAAAGATTTGTATGGCATTTTTGGTTCATAGAAATCAAAAATACCATATGAATCATCTTTTCGTCTTCATATACTCACACTTTCAATTCTCCTCCTAATTCTTAATGACTTTCTGTATACCAAAAATGCCTCTTGTATCTCCCCGAAACAGGAGAATAAAAAATCAAAATCCTCGCAGTTTGTCATACGATGAGCAGCTGTCGACTTGCTCATTCGAATTTGTTTTTTCGAATTCAAGTGTTTCTCCATAAATGAAAGCCAAGAATTTTTCGATAGTCTCACAAGGTTGGCGATTTATGGACAAAACTTCAGTCTCGGACGGGATTCGAACCCGTACTTGTTCTTTCCGGGCACCGAGCTATATCCCTTACTGAACGCGTACTGCGGCGATATAACAGCAGTTAACAAAGCATCAAAACAGAACAAGTTATATCATGTAAAGCTTTCAGCTTAACGGTTCTGTGCTGATATTGGCCGACCAGCTCAACACGTTGAACGTGAGAGTGCTGATAAGCTATGGCATAAAAGCCACCAGGTGGCTACGCACGCAATTGCGTGCACTAGAACTTCTAGTCATGAGGGACGGAGCCACATGAGCTTCTGATTTACATTATAGACCCTTATCATCTGAGCGTCTTCCAGGACACTTCTGTAGCGGCCATCATTTTTTTGGGATGTGAAGCGGGGCTGCGTGTGTGGTCATGGAGAGTACTCCGATATATCCAAATCAAATACCTCTGCAGTCCATGAAGTTGAAGAAACTCCTTGTATTTGGGGTGTGTGTGGCCATGAACGCCAACCTTGAAAGGAAAGCCTCTTCGGGTAGTTGTAGGGATTTACACGTCTCTACAGGGTGTGCACCTGTGTGGCTGGGTTATTGTAAAATTTGTTTCATGAGGTCTGAAGGTTCATTTGCTCTTGCGTAGAAGCGACTACTGTGCGTGGAACCATGGATACTAACTTTTAAAAAATTTTTACCCCAACTTTTGTAAGAGTTTAGTGGTATCCCTTAGTTGAACATCTATGTGACCAGGGTTAGTTTGAAGTACAGAGTAGAAATTTTTGATCTCAGCCCCGCCCCGCTCTTTGCAAACCCCACCCACTTCAGACTTTGAACCACATTGCTTTTTTACCTCCAGACACTTTTTCCCGCATTCTAAAACGCATCTGAAGAAACTTAATAACTTTCATGTAAGCTCGCTTTAGTGCCAATTCCGCCCACTTGTGGAATTTGCCCACATTTGTTCTACTACATCTTACCACTTTTTCCAGAGCACAACGTTTCTAACTGAAGTTATAAATTTTTGATCTAAGTTCCGCCCACTTCGGCGCCAACCCCGCCCACTTCTGGGATTTGACCACATTTGTTCTTTTACACCTTTACACCTTTTTTGCCGCATCCCAGAAAGTTTCTGAATGGAGTTATAAATTTTTGACCCAAGCTCCGCCCACTTTTTGCCAGCCCGCGCAGTTCGAGGGTTTGGCCACATTTGTTCCATTAACTCCAACCACTTTTTTCCCGCATCCTAGAACGTTTCTAAGCAAAGCTGCATTCATTTTTGAAAAGTGGCTTTGATCTCAACGCACGCCCCGCACATCGTGAGCTGGGCTACGCTAGGCTTACGCATGCGTGTGACGCATAAGATCCTGCTCACTTTTTCATTTTTTTTCTAGCCTCTGCGCATTAATTGAATCGAGTTATGAACACAACTGAAAAGTACCGCCCATTTTGAGAAACACCGCCCGCAGCACGTGGATCCCCTCCGTCTGGTTTGTTGACCCAATCCTAACCTTTGAACATTTTTCCCCGGTGTCTGGACTTTTTCGAAGCAAAAATAAGATGTTTGATTGTTGGCACCGCCCATTCCGGCACTTGCCCCNGGGGCAAGTGCCGGAATGGGCGGTGCCAACAATCAAACATCTTATTTTTGCTCTATTAATGTGCTCTATTAATTTTGTCTTCGGCTCCACCCATCCCGAACTTGTCCCGCACTCTGAAGGTATTTTTCAGGCCAGACAGACAGACAAACATACAAATAGACGCATCAAACTTGTGGATTATATATAGTAGAGATTAAGAGGGTGAGGGCAATCGGGGTCTCGGTAGTGTAAGGTATAGAGCACGGTACCCGGTAAGCACAAGTACGGGTTCGAGTCCCGTCCGAGACTGAAGTTTTGTCCATAAGTCGCCAACCTTGTGAGACTTTCGGAATGCGTACTGCGACGATATAACAGGAGTTAACAATACACCAAGTCAAAACAAGTTATATCATGTAAAGCTTTTCGATAACTGAGTCGTCTCTGCTACTTACCATCACTAAATCACTCATGTATTTGTATAATAAGTAGCTCATTCTCATTGAACAACGATCTTGAGCATAATCAAGCACTATTACTGAAAGTGCAGACTTGCTAGGAAATTTTTTGAATTGCTACTCTCCACCAGAAACGCTTTCTTCTCAGGGAGGCGATCCCCATACTTTCTGTGAGCTAATAGTCCCTGAACTGTTAATAGTTTTGCTTTCGTGGTTTTTATTAAGGGTGGCAGGAGTTGATGTTGAAACTGATATACGTCTAGAGTTGNTTGGTGCGAATAAAATACTACGGCAAGCAAAAATTCATACACTCATGAGCATAAGTAAACCAAAAAGCCCTTGTAACAGCAAAAGTAGCTCACCTTTTTCAGCCTCTAGGAGTAGGAAATTAAAGAAGGGATCGCGGCAGCAAAAAGAATGACAGAGAAAAAAAGAATGGGAGAAAAACATCGCCTCGTCACTCCATCGATCAGCTGATTGTGTGTGGGTGCTAGAGCGAATAGTTGCAATCTGTATTGTCTCGACACTCGCCTGACGTGACATCGGTAGAGGGGTGTTAAAGCCAATTACGACAGCAACAGGGCTTCCTCTATGCCCTAAGAGTCGAGATTGTGGGAGCGGGAATCCCTTCTATCACCCACGCTGGGGGGCGCTGTGTATCCCCAAAGAAAGAACTCGGTAACTTTTTTTATCGTGAACCGCGCCTTTAAACGGAGAGTTCTGGCGCGCGTGCCACAGCAACCCTTACAACCAAAGGATAGCTTTGCATATCAACAACATTAGCGAGCTATTAAAGGTGAACAGCATTCCACGCTCTGTGCTCTTGCTGTATATAAAAGAAGTTCAGCAAGGATACAATGGGCGGTTGGAGTCCTCAAAGAACACGTCTAATTTGAAAGTTAGCGCTTTACCGATAAGTAAATAGGAAGGCTCAGCCTTAGGAATGAATATTAAGTTCAAAGCAGCACCAAGCAGATAAAAGCAGCACAAACCAAGCACCATTAAGCACCAAATCCATTGAATTTGTGGTACAGTAACACAAGCTTCACTCAGGCGCACCGTATGCATTGGACCGCGAGAGGTTGGAGCCTTCAAGCTGCTACTACTCTAGCAGTCTCTAGGCGAACTAACATAAAACTTATAGGCAATACAATAGAACTGTCACTACCAATTACTTATTCCCGAGGGTGAGTCAGCAAAATGTCATAAAACAGCTTAGAACAGTATGAAAGGATTCAGACAGCAGGCATATAGCCGGTTTATTCCGGCTGATCAGGCCCTGCCACTTTTGTTAGAATCAAACCTTCAAGGTTTACTATGTTTTTAGTATAAATTGTAGTAACAAATGTCGTCTTACCTATAGGAGTAGTACCTTATCTTTTCTATACTATTCACCATTGGTTATGAGAATGTAAGGCGCTTCATAAGTATAAGGTCACCCTCAAATTTGGTATTTTCAGAATAAGCAGAGAGGCAGATATCTTTCTGGCTTTTGAGACTGCATCACGTTCCCAATGGAGTTTGGTGGTTCTTTTACGTACAGACACAGTAGCTTCATTCACGGTTTATTGCAAGCTGTACAAAGAATAAGAGAGACAAAGTACGTTTCATACATAATACTTCATGACTTAGAGAAAGAGTTTCAGAGGATGGTGGGTCATGGTATGGGGTACCTTCTGCAATGATGCAGCGCTGAAGCGGCCTGCAAAATGACGTCCAAGGGCTACCACGAAGTCTTACAATGGCATTTGGTACCATTTATAAGCCGGCGACAAGATCTTAACCGGACAATGCTGTGATCCACGTTAGTCATTTCACAAAAGACTGGTTCCATTCCCAGAATATTGAAGTTCTGCCGTGGCCAGCTTGCAGCCCCGATCTGAATCCAATGGAGATTTGTGGGGCATTATTGTAAGAAAGATTTGTGCGAGCAACCATCCGTTCCAAATGCAGAAGGGCTCAAGCAGGCAATAATTTAGTCTTGAAATGAAATCTCCAGTGAGGTACTTCGAAAACTTGTTTCGTGCATGCGACGTAGGTTATTCGATATTGGGCTAGAACAATGAGGACTCAATAATTGTTGACAGTTTCTCATTTGTCGTTAATACTTATAGATCTTCCTATTTTTTAAGGTGACATTATACTTATGAAACGGTGCTGAAACCAAAAATTATTTATAAAAAATATTATGATAGAAGTTGATTTAGAAAATGTCCGTGAGTGGGGATTATTCGAGTGGTGAATCTGATAGTAGTGGTGAAACATATCCAATTGACCGCTTCCTGAAATGCGAAATTTGAGGGTGACCTTACAATTATGAAACGCACACAGTTGACATCATGCCTGCAGATCATTTTGTGGTAGTGCTTTACAATAGTAGGATTTTCGAGGTAAGTTACTTTTAGATATCACTTGAAATTGCTTTTCTTATAATCATCCCAGAAGCGTTCACCGGTCAGAAGGTTTTTCTCGTAATAATGGGGATCGTGTAGTTTTTTGTGTTGTAAAGGATGCTGAGTGTTTTGCTTGCTCAGAGGGGACAATGCAATATAGGGAGGGCTGACTTTGTTAAGAAGGAGCTTGATATTATTGAATTCTTGTTCGGTTCCTTTCTTCTTGGTCTCTTCTTTGTACTCTGGTTTGATTTTATTGTTTGGAATTTTGATTGTCCCTTTACTGTCCTCTTTGTGTGCTTGTATCTGTAAGGATAAACAGTATCAATAAAGATAAACACTATCGCTTTCAAGCCTACTTCATGAAATTCAAGTTGATCCCGTGTCTCATGATGATCGTTTTACATGTTTTATGCTACTTGATCAAAGGAAAGAGAAAGCAACCTGAGGGTTCTACCGCTCGCTCTTTAATGCAAACAGCACGCATGAGTGACAGCTCTGGCTACTGGATCACAACTTCATCGAAGACTAAAACCTTTCCTGTTTAAAACCTTTCCTGTTCCTTTCCTGTTTTGTTTAGTTTTCTTTTTTTATTATAATGTTAATGTTTGTAATTTTTGATTTGGAAATTGTTATGTTTTTAGGTATATTAATAAGTGAAATTCGCCGTGATCGTAATTAATCGCCCGGCTCAAGCCCTTTAATCGTGCGAAGCTCTCTTTAGCGACAACTTCCCTTTCAAAATATTGAATCAGAGCCTGGAAACTGTCATTCTTCCATGTTTCAGTTTAAAATTCAATGAGTTTTCAAATTCTTCTCTGACAAGTTCCGACGGCTGACTACTACGTTCCTTAGGAGGAGTTTTTTTGTGTCAAGTCAGTCATCCTCCCTGAGGACTTGCAAAAATGTGTGAACGTAGGGGGTGCTTATTTACCGAGGTCACTTGTTGCGGACAAATCACTGAAAGGATTACAAAATCCTCGTTATCTGGGGTTCCAGAAGGTAACTGAATGTTCCGCTTTATAAGGAGCTAATGGGAGACCAGCTTTCTTTCTAAAACCAGCTCATTGTTGGGTTGATTGCTTTCTAAAGTTTGTGATAGCCTTCTGTGTCTCCAACTGATTCGTAGTTTTCGATACTGAATAAGAGTGAGCAATTTCGTCCTAGATAGTCCTGTCCTACAAGTACCCAGACATCTTCTTCTTCGGGATGAGGTAAAATGCCAGAGTTTTAATGTTAAAAAGCTTCTCTCGCTCGTTATCTGGGGTTCCAGAAGGTAACTTAATGTTCCGCCTTATAAAGAGCTAATGGGAGACCAGCTTTCTTTCTAAAACCAGCTCACTGTTGGGTTGATTGCTTTCTAAAGTTTGTGATAGCCTTCTGTGTCTCCAACTGTTCGTAGATATCAATACTGTATAAGAGTGAGCAATTTCGTCCTAGATAGTCCTGTCCTACAAGTACCCAGACATCTTCTTCTTCGGGATGAGGTAAAATGCCAGAGTTTTAATGTTAAAAAGCTTCTCTCGCGAAACTCTATTGAAAGCCTTTGCAAATCCGAAGCAGAATACGCCGCCACGGGTTTCTGGGAGCTGGGTTCGAACGAGATTTGAGGAAAACCAATGATCCGTTCACGCTTTTCGTAAGAAAGGCAATTACAAGAGCCGTTCTGAAGAAAGAAAAATTCATCGTTGAGTTAAACCGAATTATTGTATCTTCATAACCTTGGAGCCAATGTTCCATAAGGTGTTCTTATTTACGTCTATAGGCCCCTGGGCACAGCATTACCTCATCATCACCGAATAGCTGCAGCACTAGCCAATGGGTTCCCATACGTATGATTCATTCGTCAAAATGTTGTCCCACAGAGGAGATAATAATAGAGCGATAGAGTGAGAAAAAGGAAGAAAACAAGTGAAAAATTAATTACTTGGTAGAGTAATGCAAGTTGTTGGTAAGAGTAGTTTGTAATCAGTAGTACTGTGATGCCCGTCCGCCTAGATCGAAAAGCTGAGATCAAGAAGAAGAGAGTTGAACACGCTCAGTTTCCCTGCTGAGGTTCAAGGAAGCCAAGTAAGACGCTGATGTCTCTACCTGCCCGACCTCCTGAGTGACGATAATAATAGAACGATGGAGTGAGAAAAAGGAAGAAAACAAGTAAAAAATTAATTACTTGGTAGAGTAATGCAAGATGTTGGTAAGAGTAGTTTGTAGTCAGTGGAACTGTGATGCCCGTCCGCCTAGATCGAAAAGCTGAGATCAAGAAGAGGAGAGTTGACCACGCTCAGTTTCCCTGCTGAGGTTCAAGGAAGCCAAGTAAGACGCTGATGTCTCTACCTGCCCGACCTCCTGAGTGACGTCACTTGCTTCCACCAGTCATTACGGGCTCATCTACAGCATGACAAACCCTTTCCGTACTGCATGGGTTGAAGCCCAACAGTCGTCGAGGAGGACTTCAAAGGATATAGGATAAGGTCTTGGAGCATTAATCAATCCCATCTGGGGAATGCGCCCTCGCATTCGACTTCGATTCAGAGTCGTAGTGGCGGATTGAATGCGTGTGAGGACCACACAATGACTTCCGATGGCCAGCCGATGTACAAGTCAGTGCTTTTATCCTCACAAATGAGTCTGTCCCAATTAACTGACCTCGGAGGGATGGAAGGCTTGACTGGCCGAGGCGGATATCGCTGCGGGATTCGAACGGGTGACCATGCGTGGGAGATAGTGCGCCTATTGCAACAACACGCCACTACGCCCCGACGAGGACTGTAGTCAAGATATTTATAAGAGAGTAGGACAGTGTAAGGTAGATGTACATGTCATTCAAGTCCATTGTTTTTACTTTAAGCCCAATGAACTTTGTTTGAGGGCAAAGTTTACGATGAAAACGATTTCTTTTCACTAGGAGGAATCTGTGGCCGTCAAATCCAACAACGGCTCAGATAGAGCGCAGTAAGGGCTCAAAGACCGCCTTCGCTGAGGTCGACATCCAATCTAGTTCACCCTATTTTGTCTGCTTTTGGGAAGCCTTGCATTTCTCGAATTCGCGTATTTTCGCGCTTCTTCAACCATCTTTGCGCTATTCTGAACCATCACTTTCGTTTTCTGAGGCTTGTCCTGTGCTTAAATTATTTATCTTTAATGATGACACCCATAGTTGTTATTAAACGAAGTTTTGCTTAATACAGTTCAATCGATCGATGCCTCCTAAGCCAACCAAGCCTCCGGGAATGGTTAAATGGTACCAGACTCGCCTAGCTTTATAAACTGACCTGTACATCAGCTAGTCACCGCCAGTCATTGTATTTCCCACATATGCATCCTATATGCTACTACGATTCTGAATTGGGAGACGAATGCGGGCGCGTATTCCTCAGATAGGACTGGTTAATGCGAAAAGATGTACCCTTTATAGTTCATTACTTCCTTTTCCAGATTCGGGCCACTTACAAGCACTCCACTTGAACTCCATATTAAGAAACTTCCCCATCGAATGAACGAGAGATAAAGCCGTCGATCCTAATGAGCTCGCAAAAGCAAAACGGAGTTCCCTACTTTTTCGCGGAGACAAAATGCGCCCCATTGAGAACAAAGTTTACCGTCGCACGCGACTTTCGCGCGCTCTAGCGCTTACGTGGTCCATTTCTGCGTTTCCTTTTGAATAATTCGGATTCCTCTTCGAGCGAGTTTATTTCTCTCGCTCACTGTGCTTTTAGTAAATAGTACCTATTTCATTGACGAAAGTTTCTTGGGAAACATTTCTCCCACAGATTATTGCAATTTACTTGGTTTTATGTTCGTCGAAATGTTGATTCTAAATTTTTCCCTCGTCCAAGACCGGTCCATCCATTTTTCCTTTGAATCCTGTTTTGGAAATTAGTTTGGGAATTCAAAAGTTGAACTAGATCATGTTTTTCTTTCGGTTTCAATGCAGTATGAGAAGCTATCAGGGGGTACTGTGCTTCCCTAGGGCAGTAATATTACTCCCTTTCCTATTCAAAGCTCCATTTCAAACTGACTAGGAGCTCGTCTTATGCTGAAAACCTTTCTTTCGTTATTTAGAGGCCATTATGTTGCCCACTTTGAATTTTAATGGATTCAACGGCATTCATTGTGCTTGAGACACAAAAAACCTCTAGCAGTTTTAATGGTGAATCACCTAATCAATCCTGACTTTCCAAACTTCGAGTTTCGTTACTAACCATCAGCTGTTCTATTTTAGTCATCATTCCGTCTTCCATAATGAAAGAGGTTTTTTAAGCCAGAATGTAAGTTAGCAAGCCAAATGCTTACTATTATGAGTAGGTACCTTAGGACCAAGGAAGAAAAACGCGTTCAGAACTTATACAGTTAGAAAATGTGGTTGGTAATAACCGAAAAATTCGTTCGTTATCCTTTTTTAATCCTTGGAGCAAGTAAGAGTGAATTTTACATTGTTTATTGCGGAAACAGGTGCATTGAATAGTTTCTGCTGCTTTTTTGTTCAAACCGTTATGCTTTGTTTTTCATTTACTTCCGGGATTATAAAACCTGACATCAATCTCCTATGCGTATCATTGTTGTTGTTGTAGTAGTAAATATTGTCTTACATTATTGTGTCGTACCATTTCAGGTCAGAAATGGCCTCCTGGGAGGAATACTTAGCAGCACAACAAGCTGTTGATGGTGTACAATTCACATGGAATCTTTGGCCGCACAGTAGGGTAGATGCTCAACGACTCGTTGTTCCTGTAGCCTGCTTTTTCACTCCTCTTAAGGTGATTATTTCTTTTATCAGTTTCCTATTGACTGTTGCAAAAGAATTTCCACGAATGACTTGGGCTATGTTTTGTCAAAGTGTTCACTCTAGTGTACTACTTTTCTTATAACATCCTGTTTTCTAGTGCACTGAAATTCCCTCTGTTCAGTACATTGAATGTCACGTTTTCCAGGAGAGACCTGCTGATCAGCCTCAGCAACCGCCACTTGAATATGATCCAGTCCTTTGCCAGAAAGCCAGCTGTAAAGCCATACTCAATCCTTTGTGGTAGGTCATTTTGCTACTTCATTTTGAAACTTAAAATAACACTTGCTTCCTCATGTTTTGCTTATGTAACTTTCCCGCGTTTCTAACACGGCATTCTTTATATGGTTGGAAAATATCGTGCATATAAACTTTTCACTCGTCTACCCTATTTCGATTCTTCTCCTTGTTTTGAACTCGCGATATGATTGTGTTCACAACCTTTTCCTCCTCCAAAATACCGGCTTCTTGTGAAACTTTCTTAGGCAAAAAAACGCTATTCTTATCATTCACAGTTTCAAGATTTGAGGGAAGGGTAGAGCCGCAGAAGTTGAACTAAGCCGTAAGTAAGTGGCCCAAAAATAAGCAGCGTTTTGGAAAGGACTGTAGTTGGACCCACCATGTACACTGTATGTGACATACCACGCTGCAACTTCAGATTTCAGCTAACCTAGTATTATTATTTTATTGTGGCTTCTCTCACAGAGCTGTTAGTGTGTATGTACACAGTTTGTGGCAAAGTGCATTAACATCATGGGGATAGCCTCGATTTGAACTGTTCCATTTTGCACCTCCGTGTTGGAGGCTTTTTCGCCAAAATGCGGTTGTTAGCCTTTGAAGGCTTCATGTATTGACATCCCTTTTGTCTAACTTTTTTCACGTGAAACTTTTGCTGCTCACAGTTTAGTTTCGTGTCTTTGTTCTCTATGTTCTGATCGGATTAGGTCCTCAGAGAACTTTTCCAAGCTTAAAAATGATTGCCTTACCGGGTACCAGTCTGGTAGTTTACCTAGTCTTCATTCAGTTTTGTCGACTTCCGCGCAAAGTCATGGGTTTGCCCGTTTTGCAATCAGAGAAATCCGTTTCCGGCACATTACGCTGCGATCGCTGAGGATAACCGCCCACCGGAATTGTATCCTCAGTTCACTACTATTGAGTACACTTTGAAGGTGGGATTTTCTGTTCATTTGTTTTCACTCTATTCAGTTTACCTTAGCGTTGTCATTGCTTCCTTTGAACTCAATAAATAGCTCTGTGTTTTTCGACATAATGTTCAGTATGTCATAATTTCGAGTGTTTAGAAGTTTTAGCATTCTCTAAGGCTTTTGTTTTTAGAAGGCAACGACAATGCCGCCGATTTTCATGTTTGTTGTGGACACCTGTATGACATCGGAAGAGTTAAAGGCACTGAAGGAAAGTTTGCAGGTACGTTTGCTGATATAGTTATAAGTTAGTATTCAATTCAATTTCTACTTTCGCTTTGGCGTCCTGTCATGTTCACCCACCATTTTCCAATTAGGTTCCCGAAACTTAATGGATACCATTCAAGTTGACAGTAGAGTAAAAGCAGCCCCTTGAGCTTAGTCGGAACGGCCTCTTTTTTCGCAACAAATTCAAATCAAGTTTAATAGTTATATGTAAGGCTTTTCACTTGATTTCACCTAGCTGGGATACATTACTTCAGTCCACACAAAGAAAAAGACCGAGAAGGATAGTCGCCAACACGTTAGGTAATTATTTAAGAGTGTAATAGTCTATTAACTGAGCTTGTGGGTATCTAGGAAGAATGTTACTGTATTAGCGTTTCGTTTGATCACTTTTTTTTGTCATTTAAGTAGTCTGATAGCTTGTCTTGCAATGTATATGTAATATTTATTCGGGCAAGCGCGTGTTCTCCGCGGCACTCTTCTTCCCTATTTTACCATCACACTGATTCTCTGCTGCTCAAAGTTTCTACATGTTTAGACTGCTCTTTCATTACTTCCTGCTGACGCGATGGTTGGAATTATCACTTTTGGTAGGATGGTGCAGTTGCATGAGCTCAATGTACAGGGAATCAGCCGCAGCTTCGTTTTCAAGGTGATTCTTTTCAATTTCTCTTTCAATGTTTCATAGTTTTGACTCACACTAGACGTTTTGCTGCAAATTACTTATAGCCAGCGCAGTTAAACGAATGGTTATATGACCAAAAATGGTAATCAATCGTCGGTAAAAAAGGATATGAAGAGACGTACACATTATCTTCACAGGGTTTCAAATTTGTATCCATTATGGCATTGCCTGCAATCTGTGTAGCCCGATAACCCTTCTTGTAAGTTCAGAAACCAAGGAATGCAGCACGATTCTGCCTATTACTCCTCAATTTGTTCACCATCCATTAATTGATGTAAAATGTGCGATTCGTCGACATCACGGGGAATCTCTTCGTTGATTTCTTCATTGCTTATAAAACATGAGAGGATCTGATTTTCTTCACCTTCTTTCCGATAACAGCGGCTTCCTTTTTAGTGGCTTATTCTAAATGAATCCGCAATATTTCTTATCTATCAGTGTTCCAAATTAACACTAATTGATGGATATTTTTACGGTAGCGATTATGGTAGCGCGGTGTTCATGAAGTTCATCAATGTGGTGAGGGAATGTTAGTATGATGCGATGTAGCACACATTCAAGTTCGACCTTGTAGACGTTTCTTTACTTTTGAGTATTTTTTCGCAATCACAGCTCATCCTCCTCAGCCATACTACTTCTCGCCTCCGGTGTAAAGTGTTGTGACTAGATTATTTGGCTCCGTTTGAGGCTCCTAGGGCTCAAATGTAGAATTATTTTTCGAGAAAGACATTGTGCAGGTCAGGTGCGCAGAACACGAATATGTCACGTGTTCCTGGGTTAGTATCGTGATAATAGCATAATCTGAAAGGTATCTCTAGAAAGTGCTGTTGTATCTCCCCGCCGACCTCACCTCACTCGTTCTCGCCTGAATGAGGCTGCTCAGAGAATTTTCATTGAATGGGCTCTGAGCGGCCTTATAAGCTCAATCCTTTCTTGAAACGTTCATGTTAGGGTTGGTTACTGCAAGGTGCAAGGTTGTAACAAAAATGTGTTCGAAAGGCCCAACCCATGCGGATTTTTTTTTTGTNGTGGAAATATCGCATGGTAGCACAGGAGGCGCGAAGCCCATCAGTTGGGAAATGAATACTGCCAGGTTGTACTCGATTTTTCATTATTATTTTTTCGTATCATACTTGATCCCAACGCATTATTTTCTGTGACTGGGTTCCCTCATGCACAGGCTTGTTTAACATTTGAATGAAATGAATACTAACGAATCACAGCATATCAGACGCATAAACTCAAGAAAAGGGATGTTAGTCTGAAGGTTCATATTGAGTATAACATGGTGCGCAATTCTAATACATCGCACTTCGGAGTATTTAAGTCAATACTTTCTGGTTAACTGTGTAAAACAAGTACAAAATTAAAGTTCCCTTTTCACCTCACTTCTCTGAAATTTTCTCTGACGACTTTTGCTATACCAGACATTTTACTCATCCCAGTGTAGCCAAGCTGGGAGCAAGCTGTTTGGCTAGATGATTTATAATAATCTCACATTTCATAGCGTATGCATGGATGAGAGAGAGGGGTTCCTGTTATGTTCCTCATTTCTTTCTATAATAACTGGTTTGAAGAGAAGAAAAGAATTCCTCTTACGATGTTGATTGTGTGGACACACAAAGAAGCCATCTTGACGAATCCCAAATTGGTTTTACATTCCGTAACAGTGGCAGTGTGTAACGGAGTTATCTTTTTTCGTTTGTTATTCGGTGACGAATAGTGGCAGGGTACGCCTTCACTTGATGATTGGCGTTGATGTCACAGGAGAAGCCCTATTTCTAGAGTAAGCGCTGTCCGCTGTTCAGAAATGCATGAGGATATGAGGACTGAGGTGCTTCAGTTTGTCCACGAAATGTTGCCATGTTCGGTGCAAACATGCTGAGTAGACATGCATTCCAAAAGTTCTACTGAGTCAGTCCTTATTACTTCAGTGGAGTTCAAGGACATAGTAAGTACAGGTTGGATATCAGCATGTGACCGTCGGCTATTAAGTGGTATTTGGAAGTTGCAAAATAATTTCAAATCAAGAAAATCTTAGTCTCTTGATGAGTTCAGCTTTTCTTTTTCAGTCGAAGTACGGAAAATCAAACGGTTCTCGGTTGACTCCTAGTGCTGCTTCTAAGCGCTTTATTCATGTATCGAGTCCTGCTTAGCTTACCGAATTATCTGCCCTCCACCGGGTTCCGATATTGTTGAGTTGTACCACAGCTAGGGAATGAAATCAGGGCTGAACATTGGTTATCTTACAAATTGTTATGTAGACTTCACCAACGATGTATCTGGTCGCGAATGAAAGTTGGATAAGGGTAAGGGCATCGCAACTTGGTGCGGCGGTCTGATTCACGAACATCGACTAAAATTTTCTTGTTTGCTTCTACGGATGATTTTGACTTTAGACCACTTTCTTTGCCACATTCTTTCGTCTCCCAACTGCAGTTCGGAGATTTTTCAATTTGCGAGCGCCAGTTCTACTATTTCTAGGTAAGATAACTTCTCCAGTCAAAAGTTATCGGGATTACTGTGGGTGTTGTTGATGTTGCTGGAGTGGGAACTCCTTGGATGACTCAGGAATAAACTTTGCCGAAGAAAATTGCGCATTCTGACGTTTCTTCACTCAAAAAGTCGGTGTGTTCAGAAAAGGTGTATTCGGTAAAGTTTGTATTTTTGGATTAGGAAAAGGTTAAACAGGGTTTTCAGTTTGAAAGTGTCGTCAAATGCAAATGCAGAAAAGGGTAATCTTTGGTAAGGATACGGTAAATCTGTTCGATAACCCACCCCTTTTCATTCCCTGTGAATTCAAAAGCTGAGTTATGGCTTGATGGTGTTGAGTAGTGTTGGTTCTGTACTTGAGAACGCTTGAGAGCTAAGTATTCATCATGTCATTTTAACAAAATCAGTTGAAAAAGTCAACCTTGAAGGTTTTCACCAGTAAAACTAGAAAGTTTCCAGTTATAAGGTTGTCGGTAAAATGGCGAGAAAAGAAACCAGCTCTATCACTTTTGCTTTGGGCTGAAAATTGGAATCAAGACTTTTGTCTCATAATTGCAAGAGGGCTGTAATTGCACCAATGCAGTGAAAAAGGCTTATAGCATCATAAACATAGCAAACTCGATCAGAATGGCTTTCTAGTTGGAAGTTTCTAAAGTTTCCTCGTTTTCAAATGCTTTTCGCAGAAGCTGACTTCTACTTTCTCTCGATCACCGAAAGTTTCATTCTGAAAGCTTCTTCCTGTGATGTTTCTCGGATGTTTTTTTTCTTCAAGGATATGCGTTCTCGTTACACAACCGATGTGTCGTGTATTCAGTACCTTCCTCTTTCCTCCTATTTGTTGTGTGTTCCGTTCACACCTTGCTCCACTTCTTCGCAGTAATTAGGACGGATGGGTAAAAAAATTAATATGTATAGGGATGGACAGTATTTTCAATGGTGCCACAGTCCGTAGAATCAGAATCAAGGTGCATGCATAGAGAATTGATCTAATTTTTCGCACCCGAATTTTCTCATTGATAGACTACTTCGCTTCGTATTGGTTCGAAGGGTGTTCAGATTTTCGCTTCTTCCGCAATTTTGGCTCGATTTGTTATATCTGCAGGCGCATGAGCAGTTGGCAGATGATGCGATTTCGTATAAGGGTCTGTGAAATAGCTGTTCACTTGCTCGGCACAATTGTGACAGTGCACAGGATCTTGGACTAGATTCTTCCATGCAAAAGTCTTTCTTCCTATATTTCTTCCAAGTCGTTTGACGTCGTTGACGTATGCTAGCGTAATCTATAGAAATTATGTCTTCACGAAATGGGAAGCACACTTCTATTAGTTCGTATTAGTGTGGAATGGAATGATTGGTAGCTGCCGTTCATTCCTTGGCCATGGCTATGCATAAACGTGGATGAGTAGTTTACGAGTCGTTCAGGTGCTTAGGCAAGCAAGATGGATGGCTCAACTTCTCCCGTTTTTAAATGCGCCCCCAAATTCGACTTCCTTTCAGAATCGTAGTGACGTTTAAATGGTGATGTGGCTTATACAATGATTTCCGCTGGCCAGGCGATGTACAAGTCGGCGCTCTACCCCTTCCAGATATATCTCATATCAAATGACCGTTTTCGGGGAAGCGGAGGCTCGGTTGGTATCGGTCTGGGCTTTGATCCCCAGACGATGCTGTTCATGTGCGCCTGTTGGCACTACACCAGCCATACCCCCAACATTGAGTACAATGAAAGAGTAAAAGTCAGTTCGATAGCGTTGTGAGCGACCGATTTCGTCATAGTCCCACAATCGACCTCTGTCTGGTGCGACTGTGACTGTGATGGAAGGTTCATCGAACTTCATTTCGAGTTCGACTCAGACATCGTTTTTGTGGTAGCAGACTCTTTTTTGGCCGCTGTTCAACCTTGCTGGGTACCATCATCAACGAACTTATGAGGATTGGACATGACCGAGCCCTACAACAAAATTCTGGCAAAGTTTACTTGCAAACCGAATTTGACACAGTTCGTATCTTCATTGGAGTGGCATCAAACAAAAAGACACAGGTGATTCACTGATGAGACGAGAGGCTACTAGTGGAACATCGACAAACTAGCAAAAATCAAGAGTTTAGAAATCGTCATCACAGCCTGTGAGACAAGATATGCATTAATGATGGAGAATGGATGTTGTTCTCGGATACGTTGAGGATTTGCGGACTGATCGATGAACATGAAGCAGAAACAGTCGTCAAAACACTTGCAATAGACCGTGCGAATGCTGGATGATATGCTGCAACTAGTTTTTCATTGGAAAGGCTTAGGCTCAAGGGAGTCTAACAAAAAAGGTTGTGGCGTGTCACTACAATTGCGAAGTATCTACCAGTTTTCTGGTTTCATCGCTGTGATTCAAATGTGAGATCAATCAAGCAATGAGATCACAAAATATTTGCCAGATTTACTTGCTGTCGGCAAAGAAATAGCTTATATTGCGTAGAATACTCAAATAGCACAGGATTACGTGCTTTGGAATGCAGAATATCACATTGGCCAACACGGGTAGTTCTGATTTTGGCTTAGGTTTCGGTTTTTGGTAGAGTTGTTTCCGTTTGACTAGCTAGCGTTGCCGTTACTGCTTTCATCCCATCACAATGGTTCCACCGATCCGTGGTATCCTTTTGATTGGAAGTGCGAACGTGTTCACCTGGAACAGTGACATTTAAGTTCTCTTCTTGTTTCTTTTCTGTGTAGAGGCGTCTGGGGACAATAAGCAGACCTTCATTCATTTAGACTGCCATAATGGAGTTGAGTGCAGCGAACTTCCATTGCAATGAGATGATAAAAACTAAATGGTCACAGACCACGAACTAAAGTGGTTTCTCTTCAGTCCCGAACTATTGGGGTGAAGTAAGGGAGGGGATGGTTCGTGGTGTCAGAACGCTAATATCGTTACTTTGATGAACGGTTTGGGTATAATCCCTTAAGGGAGCGAATCTCTTTGTTCGTTACGCATAACATGGACATTGCGTGGTGTTAGGAGATATCCTTTGTAATTCCTGCGCGATTGTCTGCCACATGACTCTCTCCCCCTCTCTATAGCGAAAGGAAAGTTCTGAATATCCATAGGATTCTGGGATGATGTACCCTTTGTGAAACTTGTGGTAAGTTTCTGTCTTGACCTTCTCTGATGAAAGAAAGGCCTGTGGGCTACTCCCCAATAAAATGGCTTTCTCTCTATGCAATTTGGCCATGCTTAGTTTTACGTGCATTTTCATGTTGGTGTTATTGTAATTCGGGCGGGAGTAAAGAATCTCCAAAAAGTCTTACCTTTCGTTGTAATCGTGCCATCGGTCTGTCATAGTATCCTTGGAACATCTCCTGATCTGTGTCGTCAACCCTTTGCAGGGTGTTGCCCAGTTGTCTGTAGTCGGTAGGCAGGAATATCTCGAAGTTTTTAGACGGCCGTGCAAATACCGTGCACATCCCCAGCAGGAGCATCAACACACTGTGGTGCATCTTGGAAAAGAGTACCCAGTGGCTGGAAAAGAAACAGTCAATTGTATGGAGCAAGAACAGGGAATTCTTGGAGTATGGTTCGCAGTAATTGGAAAAGGAACGAGCAATCGTTTAAAGCATGATTTGGGAAGTCTTGGAGAGCAGTATTTAGCGACTAGGAAAGGATAAAGTATTTGTATGAAGCCTACAGAAAGGTTTGTGGAAGGTTCCGGAATGCTTTGAAAGCTATTCAAGTAGACGCGGACAATAGGGGTTGATTTGTTCTAAATACAAGAAACAGAACTGCGAGCATTTCTACAATCGATAGATTACTGCAATCCGTTGAACCACAGAAACTCCTGAAAGGAAAAGATAGTGTTCGAGATCCTCATAAGAGTCTGGAAGTGACAGGGCAATTCATAGCTAGACTTCTTATAAGAGGGAGAGGGAAGGTCGTGTACGAAGACGCGTGAGGCTCGTAATGAGCCGTGGCGGCAGCGGCAGCTTCGGAAGGGGCGGGAGCAAGCGCCAGTTTCGTCTGTACAAGGAATATTAGACATGGTGGAGGCAGCCGGATTGGAACAGAACTATGAGACAGAGATGCTCCGTTATTCCTTGGAACTAGGTAATGCTGGGTTCACCTCAAGTTGACACATGGAGCGCTACATGGAAAAGGGAATCTTCGAAGCCTGCCCTGTTTGAAGACTTGTATTCCTGTGGAATCAGTGACCTGATCCCATTCTCAAATCTGGGAGGTGTAGGTAGTGTATTTGAACCCATGGGTGTTGAGCTTTAGTCCTGGCCACACATTCATAGAAAAATACGCAGTAATGCTAAAAAGATCGTAGACGAGTGGCTCATCTCAAGCCAACTCAGGAAATGCTCTTTCCCATAGACTCCTTGACTGTTCATAAAGACATTACTTTAAGATAGTCGTTGGCACAAGGGAAGCAAATGAATCGTATGATTGGTCACAATAAATCATATGTTTATGTGAAGCATCAATCGCTGAAGTCATAAAGAATAAGTGGAAACGAGCATTAATTAACTGGTATAGGAAATGCGGAATGCCAGGCAGTAAGGGTCCCACTCACATAAAAATAATTGATTTGCATAACGTCATGAATAAAGCTCATCGCACTTCACATGCCAATTTCCAGGGAACAAAAGAGGTCGCTCAGAAGCAACTGAAAGACATCCTGGCGATGAGTGTCGGTGGTGGTGGCCGACCGGTTCACGGTGGTGTCCATCAGAATGCTACTGGTCCGGTGGGAAGCACTATGCCAATGGGAGGACCTCGTCCAGCTGGTCCAGGAGGTCCAATGCCAGGAGTGGTGCCGAATGCCGCATATCCGGGAGGTCCTGCTGGGGCCCCTGCCGGTCCACAACCAACCACCTTCAACAAGTTCCTCCAGGTAAGCGAAGGAATGCGATTTTGTCCCAAAATTTAAGTGTCAGGGTTTTTTCAGCCAATTAGTGAGTGCGATGAGTCTATCAACGATATAATTGATCAAATTAGTGTGGATCGTTGGCCAGTTCCACAGGGTCATAGACCGCTTCGTGCCACTGGAGCCGCGCTGGCAGTAGCAGTCACATTACTCGAGGTAGACTGCTAATGTCAATCGTATAGTCCAGTAATCTTCTGAATTTCACGATATTTTTTGTTTTTAGTAATCTTGACTTATGTTACAGCAATGCTTCCCGAATACTGGTGCCCGCATCATGACTTTCGTAGGGGGTGCCTGCACTCATGGACCTGGTGCTGTTGTTGGTGAAGAACTCAAACTCCCAATCCGTTCATGGCACACTATCAAGGAAGACAATGCCATCTACATGAAAAAGGTGCAAATAAAGAAGATTGTCGATTTCTCCCAATATTTTCTGGTATTGCTCCCCTTCATGTTTTTTTCCCCCGAAACTACTTTTTCAATTTAGGCAACCAAGTTCTACGATTCGCTAGCGAGCCGCGCCGTCAAAAATGGTCATGCAATCGACATATACTCTTGTGCACTTGATCAGACCGGTCTTTTGGAGATGAAGAACTGCTTCAATTCAACAGGAGGTGATTATCAATGCTTTGGAGTTTTGTCGCCCTCTCCCTTCCTTCCTTCATCGCAGGCAGTAGATCGCTGGAAACAACTTCATGTCCTTTTATAGTACTCGTTCTCGTTCTCGCCAGTCCATACTGCCGAGTATCATTCGATTCCAGACGGAACGCCAGGGTCACACATGCATTACGAAATTCATGAAAAATTTCAAGATAAGGGCTAAACATCTGGAAACGAACTGTTCTTCCTGATCTCAACTTTCTTGCAGACTCGGGTCAGAGATCCTTATGTCACATGTTGTCGTATTTACTCGTAATGTATAACAGCACAAATCTTGGACGCTGATCGTCTCCATGAAGAGCGAGCGGCCTTTGTTCCCATATCGGGGATAAGTGACGCATTGAAGGATTAATTCGCGCATTTTTTCTGCCGTCATCTCAAAGAAGGTACACCAGACTGAGATAATCATATTCAACTGTTGAGCAGGCCTGATGTTCGCATTATGCAATCGATAACAGTGACAGTAACTGGTAACCAGAAAAACGTGAACTGGAAATTACACATATGTTGTAGCTTCTTAGGGATCTTGGTGTTGGCCAAATTCAGCTAACGGGCAACTGAAGACTTGGGGATGGTGTAGGGGAGAGCCCTTAAAAATCATGAGTGCAAAATGCAAAAATATGAGCAAGACTTATTTCGGTATTTCTGAAGCTGCGCCAGTCGAATAATTCTGATCGCTCCATAGACGTAAAATTAGCATAAATTCAAAGCGCTAACTACGCATTCTATGCAATGTATTTCTGACCTGCAATTAAGTACATTTCCAACAGATTCCTCATTGACGCAGTCCAAGAGAAGTAAAACAATCGAGCCGTTGACAAGTCCTGTACTTAATTGCAGATCAGAAATACATTGCACAGAAAGCGTAGTTAACACTTTGAATTTATGCTAATTTTACGCATGCAACTGGTATAAATTGACGCTCGTCTGCCCCATCGAGGATTAGAATTATTCGACTGGCGTA